AATATGATTTTATTATTTTCAAACTACTATATATGATAAAGCAATATAATCCTTCAAATCAATACCATTTATTAAATGATTATTATTCTGTTAGATATCAAATGGAAAAACACTCATCTATTTAATACACAGTTATAAGTCTGCATAATATAAAACTAGATATTTTGCTGCTTATTAATTTTAATATCCTAAGCCAACATGAAATATAGTTAAAGCAAAAGCTAAATACCTTCACCACAGCAAACCTGTAGATTAAGATATATTTAAAAGTAGTTATTATTTAAATCCCATTATCAGGTGTTAAATGTTTATAGACAAAAGTTTCATTAAAGTATCAAAGCATTCAACACAACATAAAAATAGCTCCAAATTAAATTAATTTAAAACCACTACATAAAATCAAAAAGCTACAAATTTTCAACAATTAAGTAGCGTTGTTAATTAATCAAAATTAAAAAAATAAATAAATCTTTAGCAGCAGATTAAGTTAAAAAAATTTTAATGTGAGATAAGTTAATTTAGTTTCATATTAAAAGTTAAGTTACTATTTACCTTGATATTCCCCTAAGGGAAGGTGCTCTTGATGACTATGAAGAGGTCCTCCGCAGACTCCAAACTACCATCCTGGATGAAACTGATGTCCCAGGAGCTGGGTGTGGAGAGTGCTGACGAAGACATGGTTGCCAGCCTGGTTGAAATCGGAGGTTACATAGCCGAGCGAAAAGCGGGTGGGAGTAAGGTCATCGGCCCTGTAGAAAGTCCCTGCGGTCACAGTATCACCACGTGCGGACATCGACGTCAGCACAGATCTCCGGGTCACCGAGTTGGCCGACCTAGTTACACAACCACATTTGTGGAACACGTGTACTAGAATGATTTGCACTCCAAGTTAGCAACATCTCTTCACTTCTAACTAGCATATGGTACAATAACAAAACCTAGAGCAACTTTTCTGAAGAAATATCGACTATACACATATTTTAATTTGCATTTTACAAATTAACAAATAAACAACTTAAACGCACTCAGTGGCAATAAAACATAATTGCAGATAATAGGTCCTATATCCACGTTAAATGCATGTTCAAATATTCAATATAAATTATTTCACAATTATTTATAATGAATAAAAGTGAGCTACACTGATTTACTCATTTTAAATAATAACAGAAAACTCAAACCTTTACCATCAATTTCGAAGTGTTAAACATTATCTGTGTATAACACTACAGTATTGGGAGGTTCAAACATGTGCTTAAAGCTATTGAATTATACACTTCACAAAGTAAAAATAACTTAAAACTTTTAGAAAAATGTATAACTTTTTCCCACAACCACAATTTAGGAAACATGTACTAAAATGAGTAACACTCCAAGTTAGCAACACATGTTTTTTTCTAAGTACTTTATGGTACGTTAACAGATCCTAGAGCATATTTTCTGAAGAAATATCTACTGTGCAGATATTATAATTTTTATAACTTAATTATTATTACTTATATACACAACCAAACAGACGCCTATTATATAACACGATAAAAATAAAAATTAACAATATGTCTATCAGACGTCTGTCAAGAACAACTTCCGCTCACATCTCCACTTGCATTACACAACCTATTGCATCACCTACTTGAATTATTCACCTTCATTAATATCAGAAACATACGCACGACCAAACACCCATTACATAACACAAACAGAATTACAAACAACAAATCCACCTTGACACGCAACGCATCTGAACTCAATTCAACTCACACACACTAACTCCCTGTTCACACACACACACACACTCCATGTTCTGAAATTCTCTTCCTATCTTTCGCATGTTAACAGTTCTGAAGAACCCACTTTCCCCCTACTAGTATAAGCGTAAATATACGTTTTAAGTGTTATAAGACGTATCTTTATTTACTTTCCGTAAAATATTTACCCAATTGTACGTTCCTTGTACACCAAGCTCTTTCCACATCAGTAGACGTTGCCCGGATCGGGCACAAAATTGATATTGCGCATGATCGAGGTGTAGATAGGGTACTCTCAGCCGGATGTAATTTAACCACAGCTGATTAGCTGACGTCAGTAGGTGTTTGTATTAAATAAATTATTATGGATAAAAAGTGTTGGCTTGAGCGGGTTTCGAACCCGAGTTTTTTGAATGGTAGTTGGAGTCGTTACTATTTGAGCTACAACAGCAGTGTTATGAGTATAGGTTTTATAGTGGTAAATGATGCCTTATATATACAGGGTGTGTAAATATTGTAGGTTTGATTTTAACCTGGTTCAATGCTAACCATTTATTTAGAGGTTCACGGGTTCGATTCTAACCTAACACAAAAAAAAGTCATTTCTGGTTCAATTCTAACGCTGGATGTAATCTATTCACAGTTGTTTATTTCAGCTGATTAGCTGATCACGTAACCAGGTTTAGAGGTTCACGGGTTCAATCCTAACATATGCTAAATATGTAGTAGTTTTAAAGGTTTATGGGTTCAATCCTAACCTATTATTGGAGGTTTGTGGGTTCGATCCTAACATATGCCAGAGGTTCATGGGTTCAATCCTAACCTATCATTTGGAGGTCTATGGGTTTAATTCTAGCTTATGCTAGAGGTTCATGGTTTGATTTTAATCTAACACAAAACATGTTATTTCCGGTTCAATTCTAATCAATTGTTATGTATTATAGTGGGAGGTTTGATTCTAACATATGCTATGGGTTCAAACCTAACCTAGCTGGAGAGGTTTATGGGTTTAATCCTATCACAGTAGGTTTTGTAAAAACTTTATATAGTGTATAATGCTTAAGCGAAACCTGATCATAAAAGACTATTATACTAAATGTGTAGTAGCATTGGAGGTTGGCATGCTGTAGTGTATAATAAATATAAAACAGCTGAAAGAGGGCTTAACTTTACCATTAAATGCCACCAAATATCATATGTTAAATGAGTTACTTAGGGTTGGGTTGTTTTTTTTGTATAGTGGGAGGTTCACTAGTTCAATCCTAACCTATCATTTGGAGGTCTATGGGTTTAATCCTAACATATCACTTTAGGTAAGGTTTATGGGTTTGACTCTAACTTAACACAAAACATGTCATTTCCGGTTATTGGGTTCGATCCTAACATATGCTAAGGGTTTAATGCTAACTAACCACAAAACATGTTATTAGAGGTTCATGGGTTTAATCCTATCTCAGTAGAATTTGTAAAAAAACACTTTATTTTATATAGTGTATAATGCTTAAGTGAAACCTGATCATAAAAGACTATTATACTAAATGTGTAGTAGCATTAGAGGTTGGCATGCTGTAGTGTATAATAAATATAAAACAGCTGAAAGAGGGCTTAACTTAACCATTAAATGCCACCAAATATCATATGTTAAACTATTGATTTTAATCTATGCTAAATGAGTTACTTTGGGCTGTTTTTTGTAGTGAGAGGTTCACGGGTTCGATTCCTAGCTGGTTATATTATTTTATATATATGTAACCACAAGTCAAACAAGTTTATAATATTGGAGTGTTAGTGTTGACGGTATAATTATAATAATGATTAACTTGATATAAGATTCATCATAAAGGATTACTCTGAGTTGAGGTATTAGTTTATAAATTATCCACCAGGTAGTAGCACTAGTACTGCCAACTACTGATAGCTGATTATATGATTTTGTAACATAACCTCACTTCTGTGTTATATGCTTTTCTGCCAAGTAAAATAACTTCATTTTATGTTTTACTAGCAGAGAACCCGTCCTTCGTACGGGGTTGGCATCACGAATAAAATGCTTATTGCAGTTATACTCAAGTTTTGCGTTTGCAATGGGGGGAGGACACAGTTTAATAAAATTTACTTCTTTAAATTTATGGTATACTGCATTATTACACATCTACCATAGCCATTAATGTTCTACTACTTCTCCTAAACAATAGGGAAAAATTAATTATTATGTATCACAGTTTTTGTCGATGCTTAATTCAAATTAGCTGTTTTCATAAATAAAAAAAAATAATAGTGCTGCACTCTGTTGGTAAATCTTATAACTTTTTAATGCTTTTGCATATCATAGAACCAACTGTTTAGTTAAAACACAGCTGACTAAATTCTTTAATTCCCATTAAACATAAATACTCATAAGGTTAACATGGGGAACTGCAGAGCCACTGGGACGGAGCCCGAAAGGATTTTTGAAATAAGAATATGTCTGTATGTTAATCGGGAATGTAAGCTATCATCATGCCAAATTTCAGCCCAATCCGTCCAGTAGTTAAAGCGTGATTGAACTTCAAACAAACAATTGTAACATAACCTCTGTTTTCCTATCAAGTTTATAATTATAAATGTATAATATATGCTTGATTTACTATAATAAATTTGAATAATGTACTGTGGTATTAGGTAGCTGTGTTTTACCAACTACTGATTACATTGTATATGATATAATCTCTGTTTTGTGTTATCTTTTTTTTATCAATTGTTTCTACTAATAGTTTTTTTATTAATGGAATTCTTTTATGGTGTAATCTAAGTTGGGGGAATTAATAAAAACAGTTGTGAAAGCTAAATATAGATTTATTTATACTATTATATACAAACTTATTACTAAATACTTAAAGATTTTCTGATTTCTGATTTCTGATACTTAACGCTAGTAGAGGAGGAGGAGAGGGGCAGCCATCTGAAACAAATAATAAACATAATTAGTATATAATAATTATATAGTATATAATATTAAATATAATGTCTACATCCTGCGCGGTATTGCATCATCCAAATCAGCAACTATCACTTCCTGTGTACCATATTACAACCGGATAACCACCTTTGATAACCACTTTTGTGGTATTGCATCATCTAAAACAACAGCTATCACTTCCTCTTGTGTACCACGTCACCTTTGATAAACACATTTGTGGTTATCCTTGTCCCTATATAAACCCTTATCGCAACCCTGCCATTATTGCATCACTTTGCTCCCAGTGCTTCAAGATGACGGATGTAAGTAACTCTGCTCCAGTAGATTCCAATGAATCTGTTGATAGTAATGAACCTGTAAATGTTGTAGAAGATTCTGTTGAAGTAATTGTCCCTGTAAATATTCTAGATAAACATGAAAATTATGTAAAGAGATTTCGCATTCATGGAATTAATACTGTTTTTAAGTTTTCTAACCCCCCACCAGAAACTAATGAGATTGACTGGCTAAGACAAGGGTTTGGTCAAAATGTTAATGAAATGAAAGAAGTTTGTCAGGAGGGCGATCAATTGGGATTCACTCTGCGTTCACTTAACCTGAAAAGTAAAGAGCCGGGGTTTGTTGCTTTTCGCCCTGCAAATGAAGTTAACGAGGACGTCCTGTGGCAAATTTTTGGGGGAATTGTGCAATCAAATTCTGAATCAATCAAGTCCACAGATACATTTCAAGTTGAATGTACCCGAGTTAATCTCCCTGTAGGTTCAGGAGGCTGCAAAAGACCAGGCCTGTACAATACCTTTGACGAAGAATGTAAAGCTAGGACTGGGATTGTTGTAATTAACAATAAAGATAATTTGTGTCTTCCCCGTGCTATTGTAGTGGCTATAGCTAATGTAAATAAAGATCCTGAATATAAATTAGTTAGAATGGATAGGGCAAATAGGCAAACTGTTAGGGCTCAGGAACTTGTACGTAGAGCTAGAGTTGTGATGCCTGAGGGTGGTGCAGGCATTCCTGAACTTGAAAAATTCCAACATCTGCTTAAAGACTATAAAATCACAGTGTACAACTACAATGCTAAAGGTCGTGATGTGTATTTTGAGGGTAGTGTGGAGAACCCCAAGTTCAAAATTAACCTGTTGTTTTATAACCGGCACTATAATGTAATTACTAGCCTGACAGCAGCCTTTGCTTGTAAATATTTCTGTGAGGCCTGTTATATCCCGTATGATCACAAAGGAGCCCACAGATGCTCAAACATTTGTCCCTGTTGCCAAACCATCTCGCCCCCATGTGTAGAGGAGTATGGGGGGATCTTGTGTCCTAAATGCAATCTAACTTATAAAAACCAACGCTGTTTTATTGCGCATCAGGTTGATAGGTGTAAACATGTGAAGAAATGTCTTGACTGTGGGAAACTAGTTTTGCTTAAAGAGAGGTCCAAGCCTCACAAGTGTGGGGAAGTATTTTGTAAACCTTGTGGGGAGTATAAAGATCCCAACCATAAATGTTATATGAAACCCAATGAGGGAAAACCTAAATCTAAAGACTATGTTTTTATTTTCTTTGACTTGGAAACCCGCCAGGATGAGCCTCTGCCCTCTGACCCTGAAAGTAAATTGCATAAAGTAAACTTGTGTGTGTCTCAGCAATTTTGTTATCAGTGTATTGAGGGGAAATTCTGTATTGCATGTAAAAATCGTACGCGAGTGTTTGACTCTGACCCTATCAATCAGTTTATGAACTATGTAATGTATGTAAGGAAACAGTTTAAAAACGTCTGCGTAATTGCACACAATGGGCAGGGGTTTGACTTTCAATTCTTGCTAAAGTACTTGTTGGAAGAAACAAAATTCACGCCGGAACTTGTAATGCGGGGAACTGCGATTATCTTAATGGAAATCGATAATGTTAGGTTTGTTGACTCACTTAGCTACTTCCCTATGGCTCTGTCTGCTCTGCCTAAAGCCTTTGACCTACCTCCAGAGAAAAAGAAAGGCTACTTTCCTCACCTGTTCAACACTCTGGCAAACCAAAACTATGTAGGCCCTATGCCAGATAAAGAGTACTATTGTCCTGAATCTATGTTTGAGAAATCCCACAACGACTTTGAAAAATGGTATAGTGAACAGGTTGCTAGTAAATATGTGTTTAACTTCAAAAACGAGATCCTAGCCTACTGTATTTCAGACGTTGATATCTTGGCTCAAGCCTGTCTAAAGTTTCGCTCAATTTTCCTAAAAGAGTGTAATGTTGACCCGTTTCTTGAGGCTGTTACTATTGCTAGTGCTTGTAATCTAGCTTTCCGCCGTAATTTCTTGAAACCCAATACTATCGGACTTATCCCTAAAAACGGCTATCGATTAGTAGACAATCAATCAAATATAGCGCTCCAATGGCTTTCTTGGGTCGAGGAAACCAACGGGATTAGGATTGACCACGCAGGTCGAGGTAAAGAAGTTAAAGTCAATGGAATGAAAGTAGATGGGTTCGATGGCAGAAACATCTACGAATTTCATGGCTGTTATTTCCATGGGTGTCCTAAATGTTTTTCTTACAACCGTCATGCCCCTTTGAAAGAGGACCCTTCTGATAGCCTACATCTTCGCTATGAGCGAACCAAGGCTAAAAATGCAAAGTTTACAGAACACACACTAGTAGAGATGTGGGAATGTGAATTTCGTAAACAAAAAAAGGATCAGCAGCTTAAATATCTAGACAGTTTGCCTATCTTAAACAATCTTCCACTTGACCCGAGGCAGGCTTTCTTTGGAGGTAGGACAGGTAATGCGAAATCTTACCACAAATGCACTGAGGGGGAAACTATACAATATGTCGATGTTTGTTCTCTGTACCCTTATGTTTGTAAGTATGGGAAGTATCCTGTAGGCCACCCAACCATCTATGTAGGAGACAGGGAGTGTCGTGAGAGAGGTATGGGTGTGGAGGGTTTGTTAAAATGTAAAGTATTGCCGCCTCTTGATCTCTACCACCCTGTACTCCCTACAAAAATGAATGATAAATTGATGTTTGTGTTGTGCAGAACATGTGGGGAAATGATGTATCAGGGAGAGTGTAATCATGACAGTGATGATAGGGTATTAGTTGGTACTTGGACTATGGACGAGATCAGAAAGGCAGTAGAGAAAGGGTATATTGTATTGGATATGTATGAGTTGTGGGAGTACCAGGTAGCGACTTATGAAAATGGGGGTTTGTTCACTGATTTTATTAATAAATTTCTCAAGATGAAACAGGAAGCTTCGGGCTATCCGGAATGGTGTAAGACTGAGGAGGACAAAACAAATATATTGCAGAGTATTTAGGACACGAGGGAATTAAGTTGGAGAAAGAAAAGATTGTTAAGAATGGAGGTTTGAGATCTTTGGCAAAATTAATGTTAAACAGTTTTTGGGGAAAATTTGGTCAGAGGGAAAATCAAACTAAGGCTACTATTGTTAGAGACTCAAAAACATTATTTCAAATGCTCTCTAGTCCAGAAGTTAAAGTAAACAGAATTCAGATTGTTAATGATGAGGTTGTGGTCGTGTCATGGGAATATTTGGAGGAGGTAGGTGAACCTCTTAGTAACGTAAACGTTTGTATTGCGGCCTACACTACCTCGCAGGCGAGACTCAAACTCTATGAACACCTTGAGGCCCTAGGAGCTCAAGTATTATATTATGATACTGACAGTGTTGTTTACATATATGGAAACGGTCTTTATAGGGTGTCTACAGGAGATTATCTCGGTGAAATGACTGACGAATTAGTAGATTATGGACCTGGCTCTTATATCACTGAGTTTGTCTCTGGGGGGCCTAAAACTTACGCGTACCTTGTCTGGTCAACCAATCAACAAAAATTGATCCCAATATGTAAAATCAAGGGCCTCACCCTTAACTTTAAAACATCAAAAGTTGTAAATTTTGAAAAATTAAAAGAGATGGTTTTGAGTGAAGCAAAACAGACTGTTGAAATTGAAGAAAGTAGAATCAGAAGGACTAGAGACAGAGACATCGTCACCATCGCTGAGAGCAAAGTGTTTAAAATAACTGGTCCTAAAAGGAGGTATGAAGGTCAATATGATACTTTACCTTTTGGATATAGAAAAGTCCAAAGGGCCACATAAATTGTATTGTAAATGTAAACTTTGTAAATAATTTTGTAAATTTAAAACTGTACATAGCTCTCCTAGTAAAAAAAAACAAGTCTATAGATACATACTTATGTAACCTGACCAAGGTGTGAGTGTGTGTGTACATTGAGTAGTTCAGATTTAGAAGAACCTGTGCTACTCCTTGTACTTGTGTGAATGTGTGTACACTGAGGGATTCAGATTGGATATAACCTGTGCCCCTCTTTGTACTTGTGTGAATGTTATTGGTCACTGGCGCGGCCAACTAAACAGCCCGTAAACCATGAGTGAAAGTCACTGGCGAGGCCAACTAAACCGCCCGCAAACTTTGAATGTTAACTTTGGTAGGGTTATATAACTAAATCTATAGACTTGACAAAAAAGCTTTATAAATAAAGGAGAGGACGTTAAACAACATCAACCAATATAATATTATATAATATTATAAACTGGTATATAATATTATAAACTGGATAGGTTGTATAACGTTTAACTTGGCCTCACTTAATGAGGGGATAGTCTCAAACCCTATCCAATATAAAGCTAAAAGAGGTGTAAGAATACATCATTTCCACCATTAAAGAACTATACCAGATGTAACAGATCTATATTACTCGTTAAGCTCCTTATATTATACCACATAAAATATTAACTTGATCGGAAATTAGAAGATTTGAACCCTAGTCTCCTATACAAACATAACACTACTATACAACACTAAAAATCACTCCAACTTGATATAATACAAATGGTAGCTAGTAAGGATCGAACCCACAAACCTCTAAGAACAAGGACCTACACTATGATACAATACCATACTAAAAACACCCCAACCAGAAATTATCGGTGATTGGTAAGGATTGAACCCGTAAACCTCTGAGATCGAATATGCATACACAAACAAGAGACTACAACACAACATCATACAAAAAAACACCCCAACCGGAAATGAAACGTTTGGTAAGGATCGAACCCGTAAACCTCTGAGATCAAGGACTCCCACTACAATACAAAACTATACCAACATCAACATATCACCCCAACCAGAAATGAAACGTTTGGTATGAATTGAACCCGTAAACCTCTGAGATCAAGGACTCACACTATGATACAATACCATACTAAAAATACCTCAACCAGAAATGATCGGTGATTGGTAAGGATCGAACCTGTAAACCTCTGAGATCATGGACTACCACTACAATACAACACCTTACCAAAAACCAATATATCACCCCAACCGGAAATGAAACGTTTGGCATTAATCGAACCCGCATACCTCTGAGATTAAGGACTCACACTACTCCCACTACAATACAACACTATACCAAAAATCAATATATCACCCCAACCAGAAATAAAATATGTTTGTTAATTGGTAAGAATCGATCCTGTGAACCTCTAGGACCATAGGTTCATATAAAAACTGTTAACTATAATCCAATACCATACCAAAAATCAACATATCACCCCAACCGGAAATAAAATCTTTGGTGATTGGTAAGGATAGATAAGGTAGTCTAGAGAAACAAGCGGGCAAGTAAAATTTAAAGAGTTATGTCTCAAACCGCAAATGTAACATGAATGATGACACTATTTAAGACACAACCAACAAGTAGGTCTTATAAAGGAATGTGATTTTATGTTAAAAATAAATACATGTTATTAGGATATTAAATTCTAAAGATGCTCTTGGAATAGTTTAAAATCGTTAAAACATCAAATTTTATCCTATGTGATTATGTATTAAAAATTAGAGTTTTGTCTATACATTGTTCAAAATTACATAATTTTTGGTTATTTTTACGATATATTGACCAACCAATTTGTGTTATCTTAATTTCTATCCATTGTAATATGATACCACTACTTTACAAATTGTGCGCTATTTTGTAAAGTTTCTCTTAACATTTACAATTTATGAAATACTCATATGTTTGGATATCTATGAAGTAATGAACATCTGTTTGGATAGATTTATTTTTTTGTCACTTATATTTTTACATTAAATGTTGTTTACACATAACCGTTACCAAACATGTTTTGTAAGTACACCCAAATAAGATGAAAAACGTTTTTTCTTACGTTTAATTAATCGCAAGAGTAATAACGTGTAACCATAAATGAAACTTCTATGCATTATTTGGGTTGCCAATTAGAGATTCTGTGTTTATCAAATTGTACTTGAGCTTAACCAGAATACAGAGTTTAGCCTACATATCCGGAAAAACACACACTAAAATGCAAAAGAAATACTGTTCCGATTATAAGAAGATCAATATGATTCTTTCTGTACAAAGCTATTTGTACATAAAAATGAAGATAATTGAATATTCTAGGAAGAAAGAGAGCTCAATTAGTTTGCATCCAAAATGAATGCATGCTGCTTAATGAGTATAGTCACAGAGATTACGCTAAAAAGACAATTTAAACAATTCAATGTAATTCAAGTACTAAAATCCTTCATTTAAATAAAAAGCTCGACCCAGGGTTATGTAAATCCCCATAATACAAAAATTTACTAATCTGAACGCCCCACAGTAGTTCTTTCTAGGCTGTATGTATATATGCACCATAATGGTTAATAATGCTAACCAAATAGAGTGTTATTTATACCAACTATAAAATACTACATAGAACATAGAATGTTTTGTCAGTGTAGAAGGTTTGAGTGTGTTTCGCGGTCATTAGATACTGTTATCTCATTTCCTGTAGATACTGTTGCACAGTCCTTCAATTACATCACTTTTATTTGACTTTTATTTACATCGCTCTGTATTTGAACATATTTTCTAAGTCATGTATCGGTAGTTAATTTATAAACCTACATTTAAATTACCGATCACCAATAACATATTACTGTAGTACAACGATGCTAAATCTTATAGATTTCCCAGTAAAACAGTATGTGCATAATATGTGAGCTCGTACAGCCATACGGTCACGAAAATGTTAGTTCCAGCGCTTGCGAGTAGGTTTATTGAAAAGTATTAATAAAGTAGTCTCGCGAAAACGTCATCATTGCCTTCGGTGTCTGATTTTTGGAGACATGTTTTTTATTGATTAAATTCCAGCTATCAGGCATTTTCAATAACCCTATATCCATCCTGAGTCTGGTAAAAGTATGTTTGTATCAGCCAAGAACCGAAAAATTAAATACCGAATTCTATTTGTTTATGTACTTTTTCTAAGCTATTAATAGTTTATTCCAGGTTTTAATAGGTGGGCTTTTAACCCGTCTACCATAATGGTTGTAAAGACTATTATAAACAAGTTTTTTTGTAGCAATCAAATGTTCCATATTGCTCCTAGCTATGAATGTAATGCAATACCTATTGACTACGACTCTTTTAAGTTGACACTGTGTTGCAAAAAAAAACTTAATGTTAAGTAATAGTTTTAATGGAGAAGTCTTTTAGATTGCCATAAAATAGATACACTTGAAGTCATATGTAAGCTCCTTTTACTGTTATCAAGGTTCATAATACTTTGAATAGATAAAAAAGCCTCTTTTATGACACAAAAACTACCGATATTCAACTTATACTATAAATATGTAAAAACTGCTAATCAACTAAATTACCTAACACTCCAACATAGTGACCAAACTACATCCACGATACGTGTGGCTACGTAATAATTGTATGATAAGACCTCAATTACTCTAAGTCAAATATACCTTCCAGTTTACAGACATATGATCTTTGCCATAAATTTAACACTAAAAACAATAGTGTAAATGTTTATCATTATTAGGGTGTAGTTATGCTTATTATAGTTCTTGATTCAACCTAACCCTACACTCATCTCTAAAAACCTACATTTGCATGGTTGCTATTTCAACATAATATCACTAGAAAAGTACAATGTTACTGTGAAATACCATACAGTACTTATAACATTAAAGTGACAAGAACGCTGTGTTGCTTTGAGTCTGTTTTGCGTAGGTTTTATTCAGGCTTATTAACATAGCCATTGCTTTCTAAGAAATCCTAGCATTTCCGCTCTCATGCTCGGTGATGAGAAAAATACGCTAAACTCTACAGAACGTTACAGTAAATAAATATCCTATCTCATAACGGAATTGTTGCTTATATACTTGATTTCAGCATTAAGCTCTGTACTGTATTACGATGGAACTGCAGTTTATTAGACAACAAATGGGACACCAAGTCTATGAGAATACAA